TACATTTTGGCTCTTCCATTCTGCTTCTGGCAGCAACTGTTTTCTCGCTCCGGGGGAGTCTTTCCTCTCTTCAATCATGATGGTTTGCATTGCTTTGTCCTTTGTTACTTTCCCTCCTCCTCAAAAAGAAAAGCAGCAAATGCTCAAGGTTTGATCTCAGAAGGACGCACTGGGAGTATGTAGGCGCTGTGATAATTCCGGTTATCCAGATCTTTCAGACAGGCTGCTTTTCCTGCTTGGAAGCTGTGGACTCTGTTCCTCTGGGTTCTCAGTACTCAGTTCAACCACCTTCTCCTCCATCCTTCTCACTGAGCGACCAAGGTCAGGGGCCCATGGAGTGGGACAGGTTGGGAGGGGTTGGAGCAGGTGAACATAGAACATCCAGGCTCTGTCTGGTCCCTTCGGCCCCATGAGCGGAGCTCCCTGGACCTCCCTGTCACAGCAGCTCAGCTGAACCCTAGGACTTGCTCAGGGACAATCACTGGGCATCTGCCAGGAAGCAGCAAAGGGGGCTGGTGGCAGCTGCAGTGAGCACAACCCACCTCGGAACCGGGCAGGTAATCCCAGGAAAGCCCTTTGCTTCCCACCAAATGCACAACGCGCTGGACCACGGACTTCTGGGCCAGGCGCCCAGAAACGTGTCAGCTCTCCACTAATTTTCCACGTGGCCGCAGCTGCTCTCCCTGGAAAATTAAAGGTCCCGATTAGATGTTCTCTATAGCTTCTTATCAGTCTGAGGTTCTGAAACCGACAAATCCGTGTGCACTGCTGCCTGCCCCTTTCCTGGACTTACACTTGACTGTGGCAATCTGACTACAAGCTCTTGAGAACCAAACCAAACCTCAGCCCCAGCCTCTGAGGTCCCATATCCCGGGATGGTCCATCCCAGGGGGACCCTGGGGGGCATGGATGCAGGGTGCCTCTGGGGCTGAAGAACTGGGTCCAAATCACAGCTTCTTAGCTACAAGCAGTCAGCCCTGGCCTCAGTTTTTTCACAGAAAAATGCAACAATAATTAATGCGCATCTCTCTGCTTCCTCATTCCTGTCCCCAGGGGCAATTTGAAAAGTAAATGAGATAGAAACAGAGCAACAAAAAGAGGGGGCAGAACTGGTGGCAGGAAGAACAATAACTGGTAATAATACTACTGCCAGTAACGGGGGCGAGTCATGCTTCTGAAGAAGGAAAGTGACATTTGTCTTGCAGGGCTCGGGCAGCAGTGCTGACAACAGGCAGACTGACCGACATTCAGTCTCCAGGGACCCATCCGAGGATACGCCAGCGTGGTCTGGCAGGCCTCCAAGACTTCCAGCTCAGTCCGGGCTGGAAAAGCGTCTGCTGCCTTTCCAGCGAAGTGCTGCCGCCCCTCCTCCCATCCTTTCTGTCTCAGATCCTGGGGGATCGGAAAGAAGAGAGAATCATTTCTCTCGGGGGGGTTGAGTAGAGCTGGGAGTCTTATTTTCCTCTTGACCTTGGTTTCACGGGAAAGGGGAAGGACAGCGTTGGCTCGGAGTAGGAAGAGCTGCGCCATCATCATGCCTGGGTCCCTGGAGGCACAAGTCCTCTTAAGACAGGCCTGGCCACAGCGGCTTCTGGCCTCTTCTCAGAGACCTCCAGTGGCAGCCACTCACAACCTCACAAAGCAGCAAGTTGCTCTCTATTTTTTTTTTTTTTTTTGAGACAGAATCTCGTTCTATTGCCCAGGCTAGAGTGCAGTGGCGTGATCTAGGCTCACTGCAGCCCCTGCCTCCTGATTCAATCGATTCTCCTGCCTCAGCTTCCTGAGTAGCTGGGATTATAGGCACATGCCACCACGTCTGGCTAATTATTGTATTTATAGTAGAGACGGGGTTTCGTCATGTTGGCCAGGCTGGTCTCGAACTCCTGTTCCTGCTCACTTTGGCCTCCCATGAGCCGCTGCGTGCAGCCTAAGTTGTTCTTTTGAATCAAAAGTGTCCCACACACAAACACAGGTGAGGGACACCTAATTGCTTGCAGAAGAGCAATGGAGGGGCACACAGAGGGGTGATCACAGAGAACATTCCAGAAAATGTAGGACCCTTTCTCTGAGGCACAGCTATTTAACAGGCAAGCCTCTTCTCAGCACTGACTCATCAAATCTAGGTGGGTTCTAGGGTCAACCTCACCCAGGGAGAAGCCAGAACAGAGGTCCCAGCTAAAGTCTGAGTGAGGGGGACCCCTCTCCCCTGCCCTGGGGAGCCTGGGGTCACGTTGCAGAACGGGATGGTCCCAGGGCTCTGACTCTGCAGTTTCAGCTGCAGTGAGCCTCTTTCTATGTGTGAGTGCTTCTGTTGGGCTTCTGGGTGTTGGCCAGGTTGGGAGGGTCACCTTCTGTTTGCATCCCAAGAAAATTGGTCTCTGGGAACTTCACTGGGGCATTCCAAGGAGACTTGAGTTGAACCTTAAAGAAGGGGCAGGCCTTGGGGACCAGCACCCCTGAAGTCCAGGCAGAGAGAGCACTGGGCGGGACGTTGAGCGTGTTCTACTCTGCCGTTGGTCAGGAACCTGTGGAAGCCAGAGCTGGCCCAGGTCACACCATGATGTGGCATCCTGAGAAACAGACTCTGCAGATTCAAGGCCTGGTGTAAATGTGCCCTGGAGGTGCCACCCAGTCGCAGAAGGCAGTACAGTGTGGCAGAAGGAGCCTGGTTTTAGAGCCCAACTTCCCAGGTTCAAATCCTAGCTCGTCACTTTCATGCGTGTAAGCTCAGGAAGGTGACTTCACTCCTCTGAGCCTCTAGTTCCTTATCTGTGCACTGGGACAATGATGCTGTGTGGTGATGTTAATGTGCACGCAAGTCCAGTGGCACCTGGACACAATGCTTGAGCAGTGAGGACCGGCATCTTTTTCCCCTTTCCGAACTGCTAAGATGGACCCCCCTGAGGCAGGAGGGAGATCACAGCTCGCTCTGGCTGGAAATCCATCCTTTACTGCTTAATCAGACACTAATGGGCATATCTATCCCCACTGTTATTTGAGAGATGGTGGTAAGAAGTTGATAAAGAAACCATAGGAGACCAAGATGGAGTGACCCCGAGGAAGTCACTGTCATCTGTGCAACGCAGAGCGGACGAGTCTCCAAAACCCTGGATCATCTACTGCTCTGACACTGAAGAAGGAGAGAGGCTTGAATACTGAATGTAACTGACATTTAGGCCAGCGGGTGGAGGCTGAGGGGCCTCCACAGGGAAAACTCCTGCAGCCAGAAGCACCCAGTGCCTGGGATGCTGGAGTCATCTTCCGTGCTAGAAGACATTCTTTTCTCCTGCCTTCTCCTCCCTTCACTGGAGCAAACACAGAACCTTCTCTCCCAACTGCCATCTCCATGGGCCACTGGAGGCCAGAGAGCTGCCTCCTGCATCTTTACAAGGGCCAGGCCCTCCGAGGGATATGGGGTCAGAAGGGAAGATTTGAGATTTGAGCATGTGGGGAGGAGTGACTCCATGAAGCTGTCAAGCAACCCTGCCTTGGCTCTGGGCTTCTCTCCTTGGGCTTTTGCATGGAGACATCCATCTGTTAAAGACCTTGGTTAGGGGGCAGACCTGGGGTTTGATGGAGAGAGACTTGCTGGAAACACCCATGCACACCCTGGCTAGCTGCCCAGACCACCCTCTGCCCCGTCGGTGATTCCAGGAGTTCCAGGGAGATGGTCCATGTCCCTTCTCCCTCATTGCCAAGGTCAGTTTCTTTGCACTTGTGACCTCCTCTTAAGCTGAAGCTGGTGGATGATATACGGCGGCAGTGACGGATGTGACCAGTAAGAACTGGCGGCCATGAGCAGGCATTGTGTGGAGCCAGGTTTGTAATCCTATTATCATGGCGGCTTCCAGAGAAGAGTGCCACTTCTAGACAACTAAGATGTCCCTTTGCCTGTCATCAAGAACACTCAGTTCTCCTGAGGCCATAGTGGCAAGTCCAGCTTTTTTGCAATTGTCCCTAAATATACACAGGGCTTCCTAACCAGCTTTTTAAGTTTCTCTATCACAGAGGGGGTTACTGATGTGATTCTTCTGTTTTTGCAGTGTAGAAAGTGAGGAGAAAACCTCTCTGGGCCTAGGGGTGAGTAAGCCCCTTTCTGGGACCTTTCTGGATCCATCTGCGTGGGTGGGAAGGCTGCCTTGGGAAGGTGTTGGGGGTGGGAGTGAGTCCTGTGCAATGGGACTTCCTAAGGAAGAAGGAAAGTGGGCCCTTCTCTATGGTTTTTTACTTGGAAGCTTCCTTGTTTGCCAGGTCCCCCAGATGCTGATTTTTAAGAATTTAAGGAAGTGGCTTGGGCAGAAGCACTCATAGCTGGAGGAGAATGCACAGTATCCAAACTGAGCGTAAAAGATGGGTATCTGAGTGGCCTGCCAAGCCTGCACCCACTTTCTGGACATTCTCCTGAGGGCAGCTTCTCAGGAACCTCCTCAGGGAAGTGCTTAGTTGGGGCAGAGAGAGCAGTGAGCTGGGAGTGAAGACGCATCTTTCGGTTCTGACTCCTCCACAAACTACCACAGGTGAATTGCCCCCCTTTCTGACCCATCCATTGAATCATTCAGTGGACACAAACCTTGTTCATCTCTAAAATTCCATAATTCCTTGGAGAAGAAAGAGCATCTTCACATGGGTGGCCTGAAGAGTCCACGGCTTGGCAGATCTAGCTTTTAAAGACATCCTCTCCTCTTCTTAAAAAGAAGAAAAAGTCCGACCAGCAGGTAAAAACCACCACTGACACCCCTAGAAACCCCACCCTATTACCAGTAAACCCCCCATTCCTGGGTCTCCCGATGCACTTGGGTCTTGGAAAGGGCTGGGTGTCTCATGATAAAGGTGCCGTTTCAAAGTCAAATCAGGACCATCCAATGGCCCTATCAGATGGCCAGCTCTGAATGTGAAACCAGAATTGGATGGGGAATGCTGAAATTCTGAGGGCTGCTCTTGCCCCAGCACCCCATCAAGCCCTAGATTTGATAAGTTTGCATAAAAACAAGACACACAAGTGATTATTTACCACCAGCAAGCGACCATCAAACCATGTCTGTGTTTTAAACCTAACTAGCTGCTCCATCTGCTCTCCTGTTCTTGGAATGTAGTTTCAAGAATCCCCAATCTGCCTTCTGAAGGCCTTGCCCTGTCATGCCTCTAGGAACAGGAGGCCCATACTTCCATGTTTTCTGACTCAGTTTGACCGCAACGTTGGATATTTGAAATCAGGGCTGCCAAGGGGAAATTCCAGAAGGACGGCCGCTGCCCCTGGTCAGAACTCCTGGTTCTAGAACATGGGAGCAGCTAAAAGCCAACAGCAAGACAGAGCCATATGCCAAGCCTCACCCCATGGTGGTGCAGAGTGCGCCATCCTCAGAAGGTGAAGGCGTACACCACGCCTACCACCACGATGTTCCCCAGCGTGGCTATGATGGCAATCCATAGCAAGACGGCGTCGTTGGAGGATCGAGGAGGATCTTCCGGCTGGCCCTGGCCATTGGAGGCCGCGTGGACATTGGCAGAGGAATTAAACAGGGAGTACTCAGTGCTGAAGTCCTCATTGGGTGAGTCCATGAAAGCTCCTCCCATCATGGGCAGCTGTGAAGAAGGAGAGAGAGAATTATCCAGGGCCGCAGGGGCTTGGGCAGATGTACCTTCTGCAAGGAAAGTGGCCTGGTTAGACGGCCCCACATGAAGGGACCACTTCTACTGACCTGCAAAACAGGGCTTTGCTTTTGCGATTTTCTAATGGATGGTGCATATGGTAATCGATAAAAATTAGTGTGCACAGCATCCTTTTGAGGCAGACATTCTCATGCCCACGCTACTGTGAAGGCATCAAGGGACTCACCCAACAGCTAGCTGGTGACTCACCAGCACTCACCAGCCATTCCCCTCCCCCCATGCCAGGCTCCTCCAGCCATTCCCCTCCCCCCATGCCAGGCTCCTCCATGACAATATGAGTTGTAAAGTTGTAAAATGCCTTCATTCCTTGTGTGTGTGTGTGTATTTTATTTTTAGTAGAGAAGGGGCTTCACTATGTTGGCCAGGCTGGTCTCAAACTCCTGACCTCAGGTGATCCACCCTCCTCGGCCTCCCAAAGTGCTGGGAGTACAGGCATGAGCCACCACACCCAGCCCCTCTTCTAATTTTAAAAATAGTATATGCTTAGCATAGAACACTAAGAAAATATAAAATAGGATAAAACATGAGAATCATGATCCCACCACATAATCATTGCTAACATTTTGATGGTTTTTCTTTGCAACCTTTTTTCTTCTGTGTGTGTGTGTGTGTGTGTGTGTGAGAGAGAGAGAGAGAGAGAGAACACATTTAAATTTGTTTTTTAATCCCTCTATTAAAATGGCCATCAAAATTCCATTTTAACAGTTGTGTATTATTCTATCACGAACATAAACCAAAATTTAACCATTCTTCTTGAGTTGGAGATTTAGCAATTTCCACTTTTCCTATGAAAAATCATACACTGATGAACATCCTTGTACATCCATTAGCATGTACATGCGTCCTTGTACACACATTGTTATTTACAACAGAAGGGCTCCCAGACTAAGGTAAAGCCGCCAACATTTCTGAGTCAATGAGTATGAACAGTGTACACCTTCTGGTGGATAGGATCAAATATCCCAGAAGAGTGACCCTAATTCCCACTGCCCACACTGCACATCACTGCACACGGGATGCCAGAATGTTTGCATCCATGGATCAGAACTTCCTATTTCTGTTTCTAAAGGTTCTCTGCTGTGCAGACTTCAGGTGGGAGGTGGGGTGCTCCAAGGGAGGGGGTGATCCTGGACACAGCAGTGAAAAGGAGGCCCTTCCCTGCCCCAGCCCAGGAGGCCCATGTCCAGGCTTCCCAGCCTCCCCCAGGCCCTCTCCAGAGGCAGAATGTGCATGTGCATTCCCAGGCTGGCACAGACACCTATTTGACCCATAATCGATGTTTCTTTTGAAGGGAACCTGAGTGAATGAACACGACACAGTGATGCCTGCATTGGGTGCATGAGACAGTAGTCTCTGTGGAGCTCCGGCTATGGTCAGGGGTTGTGCTAGAGATTGTAAAATACTTTCAATCACTCAACTATCCTGGCGGAGGCTACTACTGTAACCCCATTTTACAGATGGATAAGCAGAGGTCAAGGCCATAGCATTAATGTGTGGTGGTGTCAGGGTTGAGAGCCAGGGGTGTCTGACTGTGAGCCCAGGCACTCCCTGCTCTGCATGCAGCCCCATGGGCTCCAGGGTCAGGCTCCTGGAACATGGGAGGCACACAGGTGCCTGGGCAGCTGCTGTTCAGAAGCTCCCTGGCCCACCTTGAGTCTCACAAGGCTCTTCTTAAAGGATGACCATTACCAGGCATCAGGTGGTCCCTGAGCATCTGCTTCCAATGGGCTTCTGCCAGAAGGCACTCGGCACCTGTATTCCTAACATGGTGCTGTCCCTCAGGGACGGGACAGGGCAGTCATTGACCTTGGGAGTGCAGTGACTGGGAGGGACTGCCGTGGGGCTCAGAGCAGGCCAAGTGCAGTTTCATCGGGGGGCTGCAGGTTACCATGCTGGGTTTACCCCTCGAGGGGTACATTTTTATATAAGTACTTCTTATATGTATAACATACTCCATTAATATATTTAAATATAACGACCAATGCAAACGAGAATATAACAACAGCTTTTTATGCTAAAAATATAATTTTAAGTGGAAATAAAAGAATTGCAGGTAGATGGGGTGCAGGAGAATCAGGCACATACCAGCTAATGGACAGCTTCCCATTGCCTAGGCGACATCATCACTGCCCTTGCCCGGCCTGTCCACAACAGACCACTCCCAGACCAAGGTAAAGCTGCCTGGTGGCCTCTTAGAAAGCAGGCTTAGGGTGGGAAGTAGTGCTTCCTTCCTCTTGGGCATGGTGAGGCTGCCGGGGCTTGTTCTGCTCCCACATTCCCCGGTAGCCCCTGGCAGACTCCCCAGAATTAACCCGTGTTCCCGTCCCTTCCCACTCATTGCATGTCGCTCCTTCCTTGCCAGGACCATGCCGCTGGGTGCTCAGATAGACGCCTCCCTGGACTCCGCTCGTGGGATCTGACCCACTCTCCCACCCTGTGGAGCTCTCTGGGCATACGTCCCGTCTGTCTCCTCTCTTTAGGGCACATGTAAATGTGATGAGCATTTTCATCCAAATCACTGGGGAAAGAGGAAGAGAATCTGGACAGAGCCTTTTGTGGGGCCCACATGGGCCCTCCCGCCAACCAGGTCAGGGCAGTGCCCTCCAGCCTCTCTGCACCCCTCATTTCTCTGACTCCCTTCAGATATTTATTTAATGCCTCAGTTTCCTCTTTCTGCTGTGACTAATTGCCACAAGACAAGCACAGTGGCTGAAAACAACACCAACTTATACAGTTTCAGAGATCTCACTAGACTAAAATTGAGGTGTTGGCAGAGCTGCACTTCTGGAGGCTCCAGGGGACAATCTGTTTTCTCGCCCTTCCCAGCTTCTAGAGGCCACCCACATTCCTGGGCTCATGGCTCCTTCCTCCATCTTCAAAACCAGCAGTGTGGCACCTTCCAATCTCTCTCTCATCTTCCAGCCTCGCTTTTAGAAGGGCACTTGTGATGACACTGGGCTCCCCTGGCTAATCCAGGCCACTCCGCCCGTCTCAAAATCCTTAATCACACCTGCAAAGTCCCTTTGGCCACGAATGGCAACCCATCCACAAGTTCTAGGAGTTAGGATGTGGACCCCTTGGAGAGGACATCATTCTGCTGACCATACCCCAGACTTCTGTTCCAGAAAGGAGGGAGGATGGTGTGCGTAACTGGATGTCCACCTCCCACTGGACAGAGAACTCTTGAAGGCAAGGATATGGTCTACTCATCACAAACTCCCTCAGCCCCATTCTTAACAAACAAATAAAAGCCACAGTAAAAGCATGTGTAATTAATGAATTTGAAATCAGCAGGAGGGTTTCCCACAGGCGGTACTTCATACACCCCAATCGTGGAACTCCCAGCTGTGGGACAGGCCTCATGGGGAGTCCCCTTTGCTGCACCTGTTGTCGGAGCTCAGAACTGCTAGAGCGAATGGTCAGTGTTGGGCAGATTCTGCTGTTTTGGAGCGTGGGAAATGAGGGTGGGTTCTGGTGTCAGAAAGTTCGGAGGTAAATCCTCCTTTGCCACATATGGTGACTCTTGGGTGAGTTACTTATCCACTTGCCTCAATTTCCCTTCTGTAAGTAATGAAGCCAGTGCAGTCCAACCAGTGAGACTGCTGCAAGCAGTGAATAAGATCATATATAATAAAGCATGGCCCAAGACAGTTACACAACAGTTACCAATATTCCTTCCCTCTGTTGTCCTTGTAGGAGAGTATTATATTCATCTCTTACCCAGCTGCTTAAGCCAAAGTGAGGAAATCAGGAACATGGCATTTCTGGTCATGTGCTTTTTGTGTGATAGATAACCAGATACTCATGTTCAGTTGTCAGCAGATGGCTGCCCGTGTCCCCCGTGTATGCTGAGACAGGTGGCTGAGAGGCGCTCCAAAGCTGGTCAGCCCTGTTGCTCCATCCGTCTATCTCAGGTTTCTTGGTTTTATTAACAAAATAAATTGATATTTTTTTTTCCTTTGTAAAATAGGTTCTAAATTGAAAGTGCTGAGTTAGACACAAAAATAACTTAAAACAGCAGGGTTCCATGACTTGAAAAAAAAAGTCAGTTTCAATTCCATCATTTGAAAGTTTCAAAAATTTGATCAGGAGCTGGCCTCTGGTCAGAATGAGGGGTACTGGCTGAGGTCATCTTGGAAGCAGGTGTCGAGAGAATGTCACTCTCAAAGCCCGCCCAACCAACTCCGGTCTATTTTAGCCATCTATTTTAAAGATGCCCATCTGGTGCAGCACACCACTGCTGGACACGAGCAACTCAGCTTCTTATACCAGCGGGCAGGGGTGGCCACCAGCCTTCAAGAGAACGGCATTCTTGGATGAGGTTTTGACTCAGAGCAGATTTGGGGCTGTGACCCTTAACCTTAAACCCTAGAAAAGCTACTGTGCAGAAGAGAGAGTGGCTTAAGGGGACAGAACAAGAAAACAGTCTCCTCTCGCCGAGTTAGACGCCAGCAAGCAGGACAACACAGGATGACCTGGGGGGTGATGGGGGGCTTCTTTCCTTATCAGAGGAGATATTCACATCAAGATTTTAAAAAAAAAAGTTGGCTGGGCGTGGTGGCTCATGCCTGTAATCCCAGTGCTTTGGGAGGCCATGGTGGGAGGGTTGTTTGAGGCTACGACCTCAAGATCAGTCTGGGTAACATAGTGAGACTCCATCTCTACAAAAAATTAAAAAAAAAAACCTATCTGGATGTGGGGGTGCACACTTGTGGTCCCAGCTACTAGGGAGGCTGACGTGGGAGGATGGCCTGAACCCAGGAAATGAAGGCTGCAGTGGGGTAGGATGGTGCCACTGCACTCCAGTCGGGGCATCAGAGACCCTGCCTCAAAAAAAGAAAAGAAAAAGCACTGTTGGCTTGTGGAAGAGAGAAAGCTGTATTTTCTGCCTACACCTTTCAGAAGGCAGGATC